ACCTGGTGGGCTATGGTGATTTGCGCGCGCGCACACACACACACACAGGACACTGATCACCATCCCCCAGTCACCATCACAACACAGAGCAATTTAAGTAATTTTTTCCCATGGGGCGGTCAAATTAACCTCTCAAACTTGTTTTGCAAAACAATGGTCTCTTTGAAAAAGGAGAATGATAAACATATCATGATAACAAAACTTAAGTATAAATTTTACTCATTGACTAATTCAACAAATGTTCCTTAGCATGGTGGTGGGGGCAGCTTTGGTGGCGCGGGGAGAAAGACAAGAGAGTCATGTGTTCATTGAGCTTGAAGTCCTCCAGAGCAGAGAGATGCTGAGGAGAGAGCATGAGGTCCAAGTCCCAGCGCTGTGGGGGCAGGAGGCATGGCATCCTAAGCTGAGGGGGGGAGGAAACAGGGAGGCAGCCAGGTGAAGCGTGTGTGAGGGTTTACTAGGCGGGGGGAGCCCCTGCAAGGACCACAGGTTAAGAAGGGAGCAAGACACCCATATGACCGAGTGCACACGTGTCTTTGTGCTCGTGAATCATACACAAGCTGCACAGGTGCACATTTAGATTTATTTTTGTTGCTTGTTGTTGTTACTGTCAGTTTCTTTATAGAATATTAGAATATACCACTTTCCATTTCTGCAATTCTCTTCCTACTCTGTTACTAACTTAAAAATACATTGTAATCTAGATGGCTAGTGGGAAACTGCTATGTAACACAGGGAGCCCAGCCTGGCAGTCTGTGATGACTTAGAGGGGTGGGATGGGGGGAGGGGAGGAAGGTTCCCGAGGGAGGGGACATATACAGTTATGACTGGTTTTCATTGTTGTCAGGCAGAAGCCAACACAACACTGCAAAGCAACTTTCCTCCAATTAAAATATAAATTAAAAAATGAAAAAATATATCATAGATGACCTTAAAGAAAACTGATATAGATCTAATCTTCTACCGCAAATTTTACTGAGATGATTGTAGAGTCACACGCAGTAGTAAGCAATACTACAGAGAGATCCTGTGTATATTTTGCCTACTTTCCTTCAATGTTAGTATTTTGCAAAAGTATACTACAACATGATAACCAGGAGACTGACGTTGGAAGACCACTGATTTTATTCAGATTTCCTCAGTTTTACTTGTGTGTGTGTGTGTGTGTGTGAAGTTTGACACAATTTATCACTCGTGTGGGCTTGTGTGTGCACCACCATCGTCAAGATAACCACTCAGTCTCAACAGAAGCTCATGGTACCCTTTTATGGCCACACAGTCCCACTCCACACCTCCAATCCCATCCCTAACCTCTGGCAACTAACATATCTTCCATTTGTAAAATGCTTCCTTTCACAGATGCGATATAAATGAAATCACAAAGTGTATAATCTTTTGGGACTGGCTTTTCTTCACTGGGCATAATTCACTTGACATTCCTCCAGATTGCTATATGTATCAAATGTTCGCTCCTTTTTTATTATTGAGGAGTCATTCCCAGGGTCGGTATACCACAGTTTGTTGAAGCATCTCTGGGCTCTTTCCAGTTTTGGACTATTATGAATAAAGCTCTTATGAGCACTTTTTGTACAGGTGTGAGTGTGTTTGCGTGTGTGTGTGTGTGTGAATATGTTTTCTTTTTTTTTTCTTCCTGAGATACATGTCCAAGAGTGCAATTGCTGGATTGTGTAATAATTACATATTTAATTTTATAAGAAGCTGCCACCCATTTTCCAGGGTGGCTGTACCACGTGATATTCCTACCAGCAACATATGAGTGATCCAGTGTTTCTGCAACCATACGAGCATTCAGTGGTCTTGCCAATTTTTTTTTGTTTAGTTTTAGCCATTTAGACAGATGCATAGTGATGTCTCATTATGGTCTAATTTGCATTTCCCTGATGACTAACGTTTCAAAAACTTCATGGTTACATTCACACATGCATGTACGTTTGCTAAGTCACTTCAGTCGTGTCTGACTCTTTGTGACCCCATGGACTGTAGCCCACCAGGCTCCTCCACCCGTGAAATTCTTCAGGCAAGAATACTGGAGTGGGTTATGATGCCCTCCTCCAGGAGATCTTCCCGACTCAGGGACAGAACCCGTCTCCTTTGTCCGCTGAATTGGCAGGCAGGTTCTGTACCACTGTACCACCTGGAGACCTCACATATGCATGATTTCATACAAATGGGACAGTTTGTATGCTGGATATTTTCTTTTGTTCACTGTATTTTCTTACTTTTCCTTTTTGCTTGCTGATTTTACCCATCTTCCTTTCTATCCCACTTCAGTATCATCTCCTCTCACCCAGGTAATGCTTGTGAAGACACACATTCTTTCTCTCACTTTTTCTTTTACAAAAATGTGATTATTCAGTACATACTTCTCTGCTGGTTGTTTTGCTTGAAGAACTACACTTCACAAAAATGACTTTAAGTTAATTGGGTTATTTAAAATTCTTTCTAGTGATTGTATAATATTTTATGATAAGGATATACTATGATTTATTCAACAATTTTCTTGATAGGCATTTAGCAATTTTGTTATCATTACACATAATGTATAATACACAGAATACATTCCCCAAAAGGTTCAGAGGCAAGGGTATGCATGTTTATAACAGCAGTTGTCAGGTTTCTTGAAAAAATAATTGAAACGATTCACATTTCCACTAGCCATTATGACAGTACAATTTTATCTGCACTTTCATTTCAAATAAATGTGAGAGCTCTTTTTAATCTTGGCTTTAATCTTGCTATTTTGATTTTCACAACTCTGACTGCTTTTCAGTTTAGTCTGTTTCCATATAATTTTGTCATTTTAATAAAAGATAAAGACTACTGCATCTTAGTATCTATCTAAAAAACATAACTTCCAAGGAAAAGTACTCAAATTCCTTATCAGTTTTTAAGTACTTCCTTTTTTCCCACTGGCATGCCATGAAGTTAAGACAATTTTAAAAACTGTGCCATGACTTCTTAAACATTTTTACTACCATTTAAAAGCAGACTGTTAAATCTACATATTAAAAATGGTTAAAAAAATAATACCCTCAAATTAATCATAATTTAAGCTAGCTGAAAACTCTCTGTAAGAACTGCACACAAAGCATTTTTCATTTTTATACTTAGATCTTGCCTCAGCTTCACTGTCAGGAAACTCTTCTCTTGGAATTTAAGGCCATTTTCTTTGAGTGAAGAGACCTTCATTTCTCAAAATTCTTACATGAACCATGAAACCACCACCAATGACAAAGTAAATAAAAACTTCCAATTTCAGACTTGGGGTTTACAGCTGTGAGCCTACATTTCAGAATTATGGCAGAAACCAACACAATGTAAAGCTAATGTTCCCTAGTCAAAATAATAAATACATTAAATAAATAAATTTCAGAATTATGTAGAAACATAATTCATTATCCTTCTTATCTGAAATAATAGCCTACAGTATTGCCTCTGTATCCAAAACACAACTCAGGACAATTAAAATTTGTAAAAAACAACAGTAAAAATTGAAACATACAAACAGAGAAAATGATATTTTATTTATTTTGGAAGACTAGTTTTCTGGGAGTTGTTAGATTTAATCTAAGACATTTTTTAAGAGCTCAGAGAAAACTGAAGTGGTCAAGTAGTAAGACAGTGAACAAGAAGGCACAGATATTAATATATGATTATTAATGGATATTAATAACATGATACCATCAAGGCTGGGACAGGTTCTATTATCACACAGGGATTTATATTACCAGAGAGACTTCTATTCAACCACTACAAAAGTCAATTCTAAATGATGAAATGAGGTCAGATGGCAAGTGAAGAAAGTATATAAAAAGGATCAAGGCATTCAAGGAAAGAGGAACACTTTGACACATTCTAATTCAATTTAGCAAAACTAAGATAAGTGTAGGTGAGTAGGTGTGAGCAGTTTATTTAGGCAAAGTGACCTTATCAGTCTTGAATAATATAATCCAGTAATAAATACACCTATAAACTTTAACCACAAATACAGAAGCTTTACTCCCTTTTAAAAGTTACTTAACAAAGCATCTCCTAAAAGACTTAACCATTATTTTGAATTCACATCTTTCAAAGACTTAGTGCTTTCTGCTTCCATCCATTATAAAATGAAAACCCCATTCTATTGAGAAAAATCTTTAAAAGACTGTAACAAGCCAACTAGTATATTATACAGCACAGGGATGCCAGGGCTCCTCTGGTGGCTCAGCTGGTGAAGAATCTGCCTGCAATGGGGGAGACCTGGGTTAGATCCCTGGGTTGGGAAGATCCCTTGGCGAAGGGAACGGCTACCCACTTCAGTATTCTGGCCTGGAGAATTCCTATGACTGTATGGTCCATGGGGTCACAAAGAGTCCAACATGACTGAGCGACTTTCACTTTCACTTTTCAAAGGGATTCCAAAATAAGAAACACCGCGAGTTCCAACGATAAACTGCCTAGTGTCTCAATAATGTCAGAGTGCTTTATGAACTTCGATGCTAAAATTCAATCTGAAATGTATTTAACTTGTAATACTGAGGATCCACGAAAGCAACCACAGGTCTGCTCACAGGCCTGGAGCATCTAGGGGCTGTGGCTGTGCCCCGCGTGCCACACTCTGACACTGGTAACGCCTTACCAATGGCCTCCAATGGCCCTTGGCAAGAACCAGAGCACGTGTCAGAAGCTTGCTCTAACAAACCACCCCCCACCCCAGGCATTGTTTGCTTAATTCTCCAAGCTTGAATGGAAACCTCAGGAGTCCTCAGACCACCTGGGAACAAAATCCAGACACAGCAAGATAGTCAACAGGCACCCATAACATCTGCAGAAACAGAGAGACCAAGCTTACTAACAGCCTTCCACAGCACATTCTCACCACAATAAGCCGTGCATTTCATAGGTGGGTCTTAATCCATCTGGATTAATAGCCCATCTGGGCTATTGTCTCAGAAGCAGCTCCAGGTCTTCAAGCTGGAGACAGGGCTGTGATTGCTTACCTGATTCACAGGCAAATGTCTTTGACGTTTCATCATGAAAGATAATTGCCACTGCATGCTTCTTTGTCTCTCGAGGCAGCCTGGTTATATTTTTGATGTTGTGCAGTTCAGTTACCTTGAATGAAAAACATTTTTAACTTAGCATACAGTACATGCTCTATGCTGGGTACTCACACAAAATGATCCATTAGTATTGTCCTTATAAGCCACTTTCCAATGGATATTTTTACTTGTTTCTAATTAACAAGAGTCAAATACCATGCAGAATGAAAACAAACTTTTGATGCCATCAATTGTGGTTATGCTTTGCTCAATTTTGAGAGTCTAAAAATTATGTAGAAGAATAACTCTGAAAGCAAGGACTCCTGTGTTAAAAGATCCAACAGGTTCATTTTCATTTCCATTTAGTTCAAATACTTAACAATTTCTCTTTAAGTTTCTTTGACCTATGTGCTATTGAGAAGTGTGCTGTTCACTCTCCAAGTATTTCAGAATTTACTAGCTATTTTCTATTACTGGTTTCTAGTTTCATTTCACATGGTAGAGAGGTGTGCTACGGTTTTTGCTTTTTTAATTGGTTATGTTCTATGGTCCAAACTACCGCACAATTGCACTCATCTCACACGCTAGTAAAGTAATGCTCAAAATTCTCCAAGCCAGGCTTCAGCAATATGTGAACTGTGAACTTCCAGATGTTCAAGCTAGTTTTAGAAAAGGCAGAGGAACCAGAGATCAAATTGCCAACATCTGCTGGATCATCAATAAAGCAAGAGAGTTCCAGAAAAACATATGCTTTATTGACTATGCCAAAGCCTTTGATTGTGTGGATCATGACAAACTATAGAAAATTCTTAAAGAGATGGGAATACCAGACCACATGACCTACCTCCTAAGAAATTTGTATGCAGGTCAGGAAGCAACAGTTAGAATTGGACATGGAACAACAGACTGGTTCCAAATTGGGAAAGGAGTA